AAAAACTAATCTTATTGGTTGATAGCACCAAATTTTTGGCTGCAATGCAAGGAATCACCCAGCTGTGGCTGCTCGTTGCTATCATTTTTCCCCCTTATTCAGGAAATCTTGTGCATTTGAATGCAATAAAACATGTGTTATCATGAATATGTTTCTAAGACATTAAGAGTGAAAATCTTGTTTGTTTATTTTGTGGAAGCCATTATTTCATATACCAGTGCAGACAGAATGGACTAGGGCCTGGGATAAAGTGGTAGAACTCACAAGTATTGTCAAAAACAACAGTTTTTGGAGTCCTATGTCACAATGGGAAGAGGTAGTCTCTGGCCTTGGCTCTGCCATTGCTGTGTGGTTTAAAACAATTTATTCATACATTCTGCATTTATGTTATCTACTCTGTATCAGACACTCTTTTTAGCACTGGGAACACACTGTGAGGAATAAAGAATATGTATTACACAACTTCTCTGAATATTATTTCTTTATTTGCAGTGCACTGCAATGAGTTCTCAAGGTCCTCTACCCATGGTTCTTGATTTTTGACTTTTCTGTGGGAGCAAATTGTGCCCAGAAGAACAATAACAGGAAAAGTGATATCTGATATTACATGGACAGATATTGTACAGACTAGCCACTTTTATATACATTGCCTACTTTGTTTTCTCAAGAATCTCTTAAAAATAGATACTATATATGTTTCATAAACAGGAAACTCAGAGTTGGAGTAGTTGAGTTCACTTTGTTACAAATGAGAAAGAGGCAGAATGAGACTCAATCCCAGCTCTGCTGACTCCGAATCCAACATTATTTTCTCCTCTGCTCGCCATGGTTTTATATGTTCATTCATCTCCCCTGAACTTTTCTCTGGGAAAACTTATGGAAAATTTACTCAAGAATCCACGGTAATACAATACAAACTCCCTTGTTCTTGCTTTATGGAGTCTTTCATTAGCTTTCCCTATCTTCTTACCTACTAAACTTCTCTTAATCATTTAGGAGTGTTTTTGCTGCTTCATCCAAGGCCAGCACTCCTGTGGCTTTTTTTCTGCTTATGCTTTACCTTCCACTTGGAATCATTTTCAGTCTTTCCTATGCCTAGTTGTGCATACTACTTGGGAAGCTGAGGCAAAAGGATCACAAGTTGATCACAAGTTGAAGGCCAGCTTGGACAATTTAGTAAAAAACAGTCTCAAAAGAAAAAAATGAAAAAAAATTCTTGCCTGTAATCAAATTTTACACTCTTTCTCAGACTTTGTCATATTCCTCAATTTAACTCATTCATTACCTAATAGTTGTCCAACACAATAAGAAATTTAAAATATAACATAGTATCATCTCTTGGGGGAAAATAAGATGCACAGATTATAGGAAACAGTTATGTGCCATTTATTCTTGGAGTTTCCCTACAAAGAGAGGTGTGTAGCAGTGTATGATTCAAAAACGGCCCAAGGTCTTCTTCATGCTACCCTTTTCCAAAAGATGCTTTTTCTGTTTCTTTTTCTGGTTATACCTGGTCATTGTAGAAAGTTTGAAAAATAGAAGTTACCATTCTTCAGAAATAATCACTGTTAACATTTTGGTGTACTGCATTTCTGTCTGTGATGGTTAGTTTTCTGTGTCACTTTGTCTAGTCTAATTGTGTTAAGTTATTTAGTCAAACACCAGTCTAGATTCTTCTGTGAAGTCTTCTTTATTTTTTTTAGATTGATAAACATTTTAGCTAGACTTTGAGTAAAGCAGACTACACTCCATAGTGTAGGTAGACTCATCCAATAAGTCATTCCTTACAAGTAAAGACTCGAGTTGCTCCAAGAGCAAGCAATCCTGCCTTAAAATTTTAATATAGAAGCTTGTTTTCACATGAACTGATTCCTTAAAATCTCTCCATGTCCACATATTACCTAGTTGGTTCTGTTTCTCAGAAGACCCTGACTGATACATCTTCTTTCTACTTACTTATTTCCTCTGGATTAGTACTTCTCAAGCTGTAATGTGCAAATTAATTGCCTGGGGATCCTATTCAAGTGCAGCTTCCAAGTCAGTAGGTGGTGGGCTGAGATTCTGCATTTCTAATGAACTCACAGGTAATGTTGATGCTGTGGTCTGTGGACCACATTTTGATTAGCAAGACTTTATGTAACCGACTATTTTTTAAAAACTAGTCATGATCTCAGTTATTCCATCAAAACATTTGTATTAACTATATTACACTCCATCAGATGGATTTCTATAGTTTAGTTAATGCATTTATAATTTTTAGTTTGGGTTTAGTTTTTTACCACTACATAATTCTGTGATAAATGCAGCCATGCACTGCATAATGATGTTGTGGTTAACCACGGACTGAATATAAGACAGCTATCTCATAGTGATATTATAGCAATCTTATTTTATGTCAGAACACTATGATGTTCATACAATGACAAAATCTAAAGGACATATTTCTCAGGATGTATCCCTATCATTAAGCCACGCATTACTGTATCCTTGTCCATAAATTTCAGGGTGAAACTCTATTTCCCTAGGATTATTTTGTCAATGATTAATTCTTAGGCCAGAATAGATACATTTTTTCAGGTTTTAGAAGTATAATTTCCAAAAGGTTCTTTAGAAAAATTGTCTGAAATATACATATACCCAAAAGTCTGGTTGTAGCTTCTCCAACTCAAGTCTGCATGATTGTCTCTGATTTCAAGAACTTCCCTGGTCTTTTTGACTGTGTGCTGGTATTGTCAGTGTCTGTTGGGCAACAGAACCTACCATATTTTCAGATTTCTCTGAATTTATTTGTACATTCTCCTACTTATTCGTGTGATAATATTACTTGATTATCTACTTAGTTAATGTTGTAGATACCCTTCTGGGAGTTAGGGTAGAGGGGAATTAACCCTAAGTGTATGGCGACAATCTGTTCTAATCTGAGGGTCAAGGACACTTCCTGAGTAAGTGACATTTGAGATGAATTTTGATTGTTTTGAAGATGTGGTCCTCAGTTCCCTAACTTTTGACTAGTCATTTTAAATAGGTGGAGGCTTTGATGACAGAACCTTGGAAGTAACCTTGTTGAGAGATGATACACCTGAGGTCTCCAAGGGTCTCCCAAGAGGTCCATTGTAGTTGCTGTATTTCATTCTCCCTGCCATGCTTTTGTGAAGATAGCATTTCAGGGGGTTCCCTCTTCCATCTGCTCTTGGGTAGAGTTTCGGTTTCTCATCACTAAAGCTGAATGCCATCCATCTGATGTTCCAGCTATGTCTATTTGTTATAGAAAATAGAGCCTAAGAAAACAAGTTATTTTAAGGTTATTTATCATAGGCAAATATTTTGATATTTTGATCTGTCATTATTTTGAACACTTTCTACCACTGCCAGACCACATTAATGTAGATAATGATAACTGAAAAGAAAAAAATCAGTACTATAAAGCTATAGTTTTCAAAAGTATAATACTAGCATATGTACAGACATATGGAATATAGACCAATGTTCAGACATAAGTCAGATCAATGGAATAAAATTGAGAATCTAGAAATTCATATACTTATGGTTAGTTAATTTTTGACAAGGGTATCAAGACAATTTGGGAAAAAGAGTATTCTCTTTAATAATTGGTGCTTAGACAACTGTATGTGTACATGCCAAAAAATGTACAAGTTGGACCCCTACCTCACACAAATAAAGAAATTAACTAAATATAAGAGGTAAAATGATAAAACTCCTAGAAGAAAATATTGGGGGTAAATCTTCACGACATTAGATTTGACAGTGAATTCTTAGATATGATATCAGAAGCATGAACAAAAAAAGAGATCAATTGGACTCATCAAAATTAACATTTATTCATAAGAGACACCATTTTTTAAAATGAGAAAACAATCTACAGAATGGGAAAAATAATTCCAAATCATTATCTGATAGGGGTATAGTATACAGAATATATAAAGAATTCTTACACTTCAATAACAAAAAAGTCCAATTTAAAAATAGGCAAAAGACTTAGACATTTTCCCACAGAAGATATACAGATAGCTAATATACAAATGAAAAGATGCTCAATATTATTATTATTGTGGATATGTAAATTAAAATGACAATGTTAAGTGTCCCTTCAAATCCTCTAGAAAATTCTTGAGAAAAAAATGGAAAATAAGTGTTGGTAAAGATGTGGAGAAATTCAAACCTTTCATTTGCAATTGTAGAAATTAGATTGTTGGTAAGGATGTAAAATGGTACAGTCACAGTAGAAGGAACTTTTGTGTTTCCTTTAAAACGTAACTTAGAATTACATAATTCAGCAATTCTACTCCTAGACATACCCCAAAGAATTGAAAACTGCTACTCAAGCAAATAGGTGTGCACACATAGCAAAACTGTTCAAAATATGGAAAGAATCCAAATAGTCATCAACAGACAAATGGATCAACAAAATGTAATATATCCATGTGACAGACTATTAGCAAAAGTAATAAATCCATAAAAAGGAATGAGGTGCTGATACATGCTCCAGTGTAGTTAAGTCTCAAAACCATTATGCTAAGTGAAAGAAGTCAGGTACAAAAGGACACATACTGTGTAATACCATTTATATGAAACATTCACAGATGGTCAATCCATAGAGACAGAAGGCAGGTCAGTGATGCTTCTCTTTGAGAAAAGAGGCACCTGTAGGGGATAACTACTTCAGAGTTTCCTTTTGGGTTGCTGAAAAATTTTAGGAATTAGATATAGGTGGTGTTTACACAACATTATGAATGGTTAAATTATTTAATTTATTGCTATTATATGAATTTCACCTCATAAAAACATTATATAATAAAGAAAAGATCAAGACTAGAATCTCTCTTCCCGTTATATGTGCCATATTTTTATGGTTTCAGTTTTAAAACAGCAACAAAATGATGACATACCTTTGGTTATTAATATCTTGGGGTTTTGTTAGAGGCCATACTAATCGGTTCTCTTGTGATTTCCACTTAATTTTTTTACTCTGTGCAATTCAGATTTCAGTCCAAGGCTTCAGGAACATTGCAAACAGCTGCTCTAAAGTTATGCATCTGACCATCAATGATATGCCAACTCTGACGGACAACTGTGTAAAAGTAGGTAGTGGAAAGTGCATTTTCTTCTCAGTCTCATTAGATAATGGCTTGAATTACTGAAAAATGTAAATTGACTTTTCATTTTAATTAATTAATAGTAAGAAAATAATTTAAAAATTTACACACACATGCGCACGCACACACACACACACATATATACACACCCCTCCAGAAACATTTGAACATTTAAATTTAAATCCTTAAAAATCCTAAGAAACCTTGCTTCACAGTTAGGATATTTTTGTTTCAGTGCTGTTATAGCCTAAATTAAAATTTTAACTTTAATTTTCCTATCCAAGTACTAACCAGGTCCAAGCTTGCTTAGTTTCAATTTAATCTTCTATGTTAAATGGCCAAATTTTTTTCAGTATTTCATTTTCTCATAATCTTGTAACATGATATAATTCCGATTCCTCTACATTACTCAAATGTGAGCATGTTAAAATATGATGAAAAAAAATCCCATTTTTTTTGAAATTAGGGAAATTAAATAGGTGCTGTGTCTCTATAAATATCGAGAGAAAAAATGACATCACTGCCTTGCTAAATTTGTTCTATATACTATGTTTAATTTATTTAATCATCTTTTTTTCTTCTTAAAGGCTTTAGTTGAGAAGTGCCAAAGTATTACATCAGTGGTTTTCATTGGTTCACCACATATCTCTGACTGTGCTTTCAAAGCTCTTTCTACTTGTGACCTCAGAAAGATCCGATTTGAAGGTCTGTGATATCAAAAATGTGGTTCAACCTTATTTTTTACTTTTATTCTTGTGGCATTATGTATATAGTACTTGTTTTTTCTTCTTTTAAGCAGGAAATAAAAGGATTACCGATGCATGTTTCAAATTTATAGACAAGAATTATCCAAATATCAATCACATTTACATGGTGGACTGTAAGGGACTAACTGATGGCAGCCTCAAGTCGCTTTCGCCTTTGAAGCAACTGACTGTGTTGAATTTAGCAAACTGTGTAAGGTAAGAAGGCATTCAGCTGAATATTCAAGAAAGACTGATTATCTAGGACATGTCTGTCTCTCCCATCAAGAAGCAAATTGGTTGGTGGGGTAAACATGAAAGTGAGTAGTCCAAGTGTCAATGTGAAGGGAAGAGCAGAGTTTTCTGGTAACCCAAAGGGGAGACACTGGATCCAGACCAGTTACATGGGGTTGCAGGGAAGTTGTCAGAGAGAGCTCAGGATATGAGGAATCGTGGACCCTTGTAAGATTCAATGAAGTTTGGGGGCGATCTTTCCTACCCAAGGTTCTCATAGCTAGTTCAGTTAACAGGTTCATTTACCAAATGGACTTTATGACTTGCTTATGAGGAACCAATCTAACTGCAAGCTTTGTTAATGGTTAGATTTCTCCTATGTGGGTTTTCTGACAAATGATAGTAAGTTCTTACTGAAACCCTTTCTTTAGCTGGGCCATAGTATTGGGCTGCTACCTTGGTATTTTCAGATAAACAATGATCAAATTCTTGATGAACCTCTACTTTAATAAATATTGCAGCAGCTTGCCTGTGTAAATTTTCTCACAGTTTCACAGGGCCAGATGATGACATTGTAGATCAAAATAGCATTTTATCTACAATGAGGTTTAGATAATATTTAAACACATACAAGACAGGTCAGAGTAATAAGCTAAACTACACAAAAATCTTAATCTATGTTTCCTATTATTTTAGTGGGGACACAGCATAGATTGACAGGGGGTTGGTGTAGACATAAGCATTTGGGATGAGAAAAAACATGGATTAAGAAATGAGGCATATTTAGTAAAGAACTGAAGCCTATGGCTCATAGCCAAACGAGTGGACTTGGAAGCAGATCCTCCAGCCTCAGTCAAGCCTTCAGATGATTGAAGCTTCAACTGGCACCATGACTGCAAACTCCTTTTTATTTTTTATTGTGAGTCATGATCTCATTAGTTTGCTTAGGCCCCTTTAAATTGCTGAGGCTGTTCTCAAACTTGCAATCTTCAAGCCTTCTCATTTGCTGAGATAGATTCCAAGTGTAAGCTACCAAGCTCAAAATTAATTTTAAATTAAATGGATATTTTCTGCTTTCAAAGTATAGTTGACAGGACATTTCAAAGGGCTTTTTTTTTTGCCACAATTTAGACCCTTTAGAAAATATATTTTCAGTACATTGCTGAGCCCAAAAAGAGTAAGAAAATATCCAATAGGCCCAAGTCCCCTGATTCTGCCCAACCTTCTCAATGAATAGACTTACTGAGATGAATTGTGAATAGCAAGCAAACATAAAAGGTTAAGCTACCCTGAGCATAAATGTTTGTATCAACATTGCTGTTGAGAATATCAACTTTGAGCAAGACTCAGATTAGGGAAGCAGAATCAGAGACTTCTACAGGGCCTTGGTCCTATTCAAGTTGGACAAGGTGATCTCAGGTAGATAGCGCCCAGGATCCTGGATGAAATTAATACAAAGCTTCTATGAATAGACATTAAGATCACCATTAAAGATTGTCAAATACACAAAGATTGTCAAATCACTGGGAGAATGGGTCACCAGAAATAGCAAAACAGATTTGACATACAAATAATTCATACATAGGAATTATCAGACACAGTATATTAAATTACTACAAAGTTACTACTTATGAAATGTTTTAAGAAATAAATAATGGAGTCAGAAATATGAGCAGGCAAAAATATGATAAAATTATTAGGTTAGAAAAAACCTTTCAGAAATTAAAAAAGTACAGGTATTGAAAAAAACTCAAAGGATATACTAATCAGCATATCGGAGAGAAGAATGGAGCTGAAAGATAACTGTGAAGAAATAACAGCAGAGGGAAAGACATGGAAAAAAATGAGTGTATAACCCAGGGTAAAAAGACAAAGGTTTAATATCAGTTTGAGATTAGATTTTTTTAATTCACCTATAGAAGATACACCTGAAACAGTAAGTTTGAGAGTCAAAGAATATGTTTTTTGTTGTTGTTGTTGTTGTTTGTTTGTTTGTTTTTTGGTACCAGGAATTGAACCCAGGGCCTCTCAACTACTGAGCCATATTCATAGCCCTTTTTATTTTTAATCTTGAGACAGGTATTGCTGAGTTTCTCAGGGCCTCACCAAGTTGCTGAGGCTGGCTTTGGACTTGTGATCCTCTTGCCTCAGCTTTCCAAGCCACTGAGATTACAGACATGTTCCACTGTGCCTGGCAAGAAAATGCATTTTTATCAAAGACATATTAGTTCTTTAAAAAATGTATGAAATTTTTGTATTGCAAGTTCCCACAACATCTAAACCATTGATATCAATAAGCTATATTCACTCTCTAAAATGCAATTAACTTAGGAATTAGTAACAAAAAATAATAATTTAAAAAGAATATAGTATATGATTTAAAAGTAAAAATCCCAAAGCATGGGACTCATGGTGGGGGAGCTGAATAAAACTTACAGATGTCCAAGAGCTATTGATATCTGATTTTTTTTGCAGTGGAACCTCAGCTAGTGTATATTTTTTTAAAAAACAACATGACTGATTTTAGTACACAACTAGGTTTGAAGAACTAATTGATTTGGATCATTTCCTAAGTAAACCCTTTCCACTGACTTTTGAGCTCCTCTTGGGTATAATATAAATGTGTATGCACACACTTGCATGCATGTATATGTGCATATGCACATATGTGTACAATATATATATATATATATATATATACACACACACATATTTGTTCACAGGCTCTCTTTTTGTTCCATTAATTTATATATCCTCTAATTCTGTGTAGTATTTTATTTGAAAAATAGCAAAATAAGAATATATACCTCATAGGAATGTTTCAAGGATCAAATTAGTTAATATGAAGTACTTAAAATAGTATTTGGCACCTAATAAGTACTCAATAGATATTATCTATTGCTATTATTGCTTTGGAATGTGTTTTAATATCTAATATAGTGAGACTTTCCCTACCTAATACCATTTCTCTGTACACCATTTGAAGGGGGGAAAAAGTGTGACCCCCAGGAATCTAAATCTAATAAAATAATCTTCAGTGAGGATAGTTTTAATCAATATAAAATTACCAGATTGTTAATATTTTAGCCACATTTGAGTGCTTTATTTCTAGTTTTGTCCACAAGTTTGGGAGTACTAGAAGGGTCCAAAAATTATCTGTGAAACCATAATGATATTCATCAGATTTGTCTGTAAATGAAAATGAGTCTATTGCTTAGTCTATTGCACTTTTTTTTTTTTTAAAAAAACCTCTTTCTTCTTTGCCTACCATAAAAGCCCAGTTGTTAATTTAATCATTATTTTTACTACCATGGCATTTTGATTCAGAATAAAAGGGCCATTACTGTATTCATTTTATTTATATATGCCTAATACATCTTTGCAACATTTTTGCTTTTGGTGTCATTTTATTTTTAATGTGTTTCTTATAGATAATTTATTTATATATTAGTTTTGTTTGTTAAACCAGTCTGAGAATCTCTTTTAATCATGAGTATTTTCATTTATAATTATTATAAAACTAATGCATTTGGTCTTCTTTTGCCTCTTCTATTTGCAAACTATTTGTACTTATATTTTACATTTTGGCTTTTGTCTTTTAAATATATGAATTATGTTTGTCTATTTGAAAAGTTTTTACTACCTCTAGTTACTAATTTTAAAAGAATTTATTCTTAAATATTTCTCAAGAATCTTTTTTTTTCCCTTTTTCTTTTTTTTAAAGTTGAGCTTTATAGTTATACATAGTGGTTGGGTTCATCCCAGCAAACTCATACATGCCTGGAAATTGATTTCAGTTCATGATCCCCCTTTTTCTCCCTCTTTGCCCTCCTATCCTTCCTCCCCTCTCCCATTCTCTTTACTCTACTAGACTTCTTTCACATGGCTATTAATTTATATTTGATTGGTTCTTATGTTACCCTTTACTGCTCTTCCTTTCTTTATTTTACTCTTCTGCATATGAAAGAAAACATTTGACCTTTGAGTTTCTGAGTTTGGCTAATTTCACTTAGCATGATATTCTCCATTTCTATTCATTTACTGACAAATGGCATATTTTCATTCTTTTTTATGGCTGAGTAAAACTCTATTGTGTGTGTATGTATACATGTATATATAGCACATATGTACATATGTACATATATATACACACATTATATATCACATTTCTTAATCCATTTACCTATTGATGGGCATCTGGATTGATTCCATAATTTAGCTATAAACATTGATGTGGCTGTATCACTGTAGTACATTAATTTTAGATCTTTGGGAGAAATACCAAGGAGTGAGATAGCTGGATCATATGGTAGTTCCATCCCTAGGTTTTTAAAGCATCTCCATACTGCTTTCCAAAGTGGTTGTACTAGTCTACAGTCTCACCAACAATTTACAAGTGTATCTTTTTCCCTACAACCTCACCAGCTTTATTGTTGCTCATATCCTTGGTCATTGCCATTCTGACTAGAGTGAGATGAACTCTTAGTGTAGTTTTGATTTGCATTTCCCTAATTGCTAGAAATGTTGAACTTTTTTTGTGTGTGTGTGTGCATTTGTTGGCCATTTGTGTTTCTTCTTTTGAGAAGTTTCTGTTTAGTTCTCTTGCTTGGGTTATTTGTTTTCTGAGGGTTGTTTTTTAAGTTCTTTGTATATAATGGATATTAATCCCCTATTGGAGGAGTAGCTGGCCAAGATTTTCTCCCAGTCTCTTCATGCCTTAATCCTTTCCTTTGTTGTGCAGAAGCTTTTTAGTTTGATGGCATCCCACTTCCTGATTCTTCATTTCCTGCATTTTGGGGATCTTGTTAAGGAAATTTGTGCCAGCACGTAGATCATGAAGTGATGACCTTGTTTTAGCACTTGCAAGGTTTTTGGTCCAATACCTATGTCTTTGGTCCATTTTGATTTGAGTTTTGAACAGGGTAAGAGATAGGAGTAACCTCTTTTTTATTCATATAGTATCCAGTTTTCCCAGCATCATTTGTTGAAAAGGCTAAACTTACAAAATATATTTTTGGCACCTTTGTGAAATATCAGATGGCTGTATGTATGAAGATTTCTCTTTATCTCCTATTCTGTTCTATTGGTCTTTGTGTCTATTTTGATGCTAATACCATGCTGTTTTTGTTATGACAGATCAGTAGTATAATTTCAGATCAGGTATTATGATGCCTCCTGATTCATTTTCATGCTTAGTATTACTTTGGCCATTAAGCTCCACTTACAACAATCTGAAGAATTTCGAGTTTGCACTGCTATGCATCTCAAAATTCTTCCCATCAATTCCAAAATCTCAAAAAGCTTCTGAACCATATAGCCAGGTTAGTCATAGCAATAACCCAACAATTTCTGTTTTGGTCTGCTTTTTTGCCACTGTGACTAAAGGACCCAACCACAACAACTGTCAGGGAGGAAAAGTTTATGTGGGGCCTTACAGTTTCAGAGGTCTCAATCCATAGACAGCCAACTCCATTCCTTGGGACTCAAGTGAAGAGTGTAGCAGAGGGAAGTAGCTCACATGCTGATCAGGAAGTAGAGAGAGAGGTTTCCCCTTGCCAGATTCAAATATGTACCCCAAAGCCATGCCCCAATTCCCACCTCCTCCAGTCACATCCTCACCCTACCACTTTAGTTATTACTCAGTTAATCCCTATCAGGGGATTAATTCACTGATTGGGTTTAGACTCTTATAACTCAATCATTTCTCCTCTGAACCTTCTTCCATTGTCTCACATGTGAGCTTTTGGGGGATACCAAATCTAAACCATAACATACTTTGTGGCCTAGAATATGATCTATTTTGGAAAAAGTTCCATGTGCAGCTAGAGAAGGTAAATTCAGCAACTTAGGGGTGGAATATTCTGAGTGTCTATGAGGTGCATCTGATTTATAGTGTTATAGGTTGGTGATATCTTTGTTGATTTTATGTTTTGATGACCTGTCTATTGAGATAAGGGTATATTGACATCATCCAGAATTATTGTGTTAGGTCCATGTGGGATTTAATGTCATGAAGTATTTTTTCCATGTAATTGGGTGCATTGATATTAGAACATAAATGTTTATTATCTTTATATGTTCTTGTTGTATTATTTCCTTTACTAGGATGTAGTGGATTTTGTCCTTCTGATTAATTTTTGCTTGAAATCCACTTTGTCAGATATGCAAATAGCTACTCCTGCTTGTTTTCTTGGATCATATGTATAGAATATTTTTTTGCCATCCTTTTACCTTCAGCCTGTGGGTATCTTGCCTATAGATGAGTCTGTTATAAACAGCATATAGTTGCATCTTGTTTTTGATCCATTCTGCTAATCTGTCTTTTGGGGAGTTGAGTCCATTAACATTCAGTGTTAGTAAGGATATGTGTTTGTGGTTTCCAGCAATTTTGATTTTTTTGCTATATTTTATCCTTGTCTTGATTCTCATTAAGTGGATTATTCTACTATTGAATTTCCTCTGTTTGTGACTTTTGGGAATTATTTGCCAATTCCTCTCTGGGAAGTTTATTTCTTCCTTGAATTTGAAACTGAGTTTTGCTTGGTATAGTAACCTTGGCAGGCAGTTGTTTTCTTTTAGGGATTAAAATATTTCATACCAGTCCCTCCTTGATTCTAGGGTCTGAGCTGAGAAATCAGAAGTAAGCCTTATTAGTTTGCTTCTAAATGTGACTGATGTTTCTTATGGCTTTTAATATTTTTCCTTATTTTCTTTGTTAGGCATTTTGATCATTATATTTTTCAGAGAGCTTCTTATTTAACTAGCTCTATTTGGAGTCCTGTAAGCCTCCTATATGTGGATGTCTATCTCATTTATGATGTGGGAAAAGTTTTATGTAACTATCACATTGAAAATGTTCTTTATGCCTTTAGTTTGTATCTCCATGTTCTCTTCTATCCCAGTGATTCTCAAGTTTGGTCTTGTAAAATTGTTCCAGAGTTCTTGTATCCCTTCCTGTTTTTGTGTTTCTCTCTGGGCTACTAGTTGGAGCAGCCTAAGGTTGAAGCTGTTTGATATATAAGAGTCAGCCTTCCTACTTACCAGTAGGATGGGTTAGGAAGTACTGTCAGTTGGCATTTTGTCCATGTGGATCAGTTCCTTGTATTCCCAGGGTATAGTTTCTGAAGCATTATATGAGGGGAGTTCCAGCAAGTGGGGCTAAGGTCTAATCAGGTCTCAGGAGTTTGTTGGGTGGTTCCTTAATTAGAGAGACTAGATTGACCCACCCCTAGGGCTAGACAATAGTTGTTCTCTGATATAGGTGTGGTTCTCAGGAGCCTCTCAAGAAATCCACTTGTGAGGCAGTGGTGCTGATCCTCTACTCACGGCCGCCCAAGAGCATAGCCTTCCTGGGCTTAGTCCCTGACTGTATTTACCCCTATTCTCTCAGGCTTCCAGCCCACTTCAGCTGGTCATGTGAGCCAGCAGACACAAAGGAGAAGTGAGTTTGGCTCCCCTTCACCCTTCTGACTTGAACTCCTCCCCTGGGTTGAGTCTACTTTACACCTGTTTTATTACTCATGTCTGCTAGACTCAGCCTCCATTACTCAATAGGCACCTGCCAGGATATTGTGACTCTGATGTTTTGTTTGTTTGTTTTTTGTTTTCCTAATCTCCCAGGTCCTGCAGTTTCCACAGGGGCCTCTGCCCCCCAAATAGCTCCACCTCAGCTCTCATAGGCCAGTTGAGATACAGAGCCCATTTTTTTCAAGCACCAGCATACAGTGCAGTCTCTGGTCAGCTAAGATTAGGCAGCATTTTGATCTCAGGTTTTTCTGTACCCAAATTCTATTTCCCCCTGTTCTCTCTCTGGTGAATTTGTGCTGGTGTCACCCATGGAACCCCTGGGTTGGTTCCAATATATTCTTTCTTTTTTATTTTACCCAAATTTCTGAGTACCTAAGACATTTTGAGTGTCCAATATTAAATTTTAATGAAATCCCTCTTTCACCCACCTCACTGAGAATCCGTACACCTGTTGCTTTGGTTCCACATACAATACAGCTTGGAATGCAGCTTTACTCTACTCTGCCATCTTCCATCTCCAAGAATCTTCTTTATTTAAAGGTTGAACATTGGTTCTTTACTTTCTATCTTGTTTATTTTAAATCATTCATCCTTATATTTAGCATTCCAAAGGAAGTTTTAAAATATACTCTCTACTTCCTAAAGGATCAATTTTGGTCTTGATACCTTCAATTAGGTTATTATTCTTATTAAATTAGGTTATTATTTTTATTTAGTTTCTTTGCCATCTTTCTTATCTCCAGCAGCCATGTTTTCATTACAGAATGTATCTGAGGCCATTTTTATTTTAGCCAGTTCTCTCTATTAATTTCTCCTCTTCTCCCCTCCTCAAAAAAATACTGTAATGCTTTTCTGTTTTCTTCTTAAAATCTTTTCCAGAGGTGTAATTTCTCAGTCTTACAAATCTTGTGCTATATTTTGTTTTTAGTGAAAACATTTCTCAGTGAATGTTCCAATCCTGGTATTTGCCAATGGATAAGTTGATTTGTTGTATTTGGAATCTCTTCCTCTCTCTATCCCCTACCCAACCCCCTCACTAGGCCCTCAACTGCTTTCCCAGTTACTGGCATTGTTCCCCTCTCATATTCCAGGTGGAAGATATGTCCATGGGCAGGGTATTATTTACTAATACAGCCCATTTAGCTTCAACAGGATATCACCTTCTGCCTTTACTGCTCAGTTCTTTGCAAATCTGACCAAAAGGAGGGTATAGAAGGTGTCTGCAACCAGCCTGTAATGCTCCCAATGTTGTTCTTGGCTGTACACCTACCTGTAGGTTTGTGAGTGAAAACACCTCTTAGGTTTACAATGATATAATCTTCTGTCTTGGTTTATTTCCTGAAATGGTCTTTAGAAGGAATTGGTGGTATCTGAAATTAGGAATAGGAGTCCCAGTGGAAGACAGAGAGCTGGGCCAAATAGATCTTCATTCATTTCTGAAGCAGGGCTGACATATGGTAGGGAGGGCTGACACCTAGGTGTTTCTGATTAGGACAGTGTTGGAAGGTTGAGGTCAAGGTCTTCTTCCAGCAACAGGTTTTCTCTGACTCAGAAGGCAAGAATTCATAGGTCATCTATTGATTTTCCAATCCAGCTGAATTGACCTTATATTTTGTGAAAATTCCTCAAGACTGTGGCAATAGTTTGTATCTATTGGGTCTCCCTTTACTAAATTTTGGTCTTTTTCTTTTACAAAAATCATCAGTGGGTTTGTTAAACCTGATCACATTTTAACCTGGGAGAAAAAGACTATCTGTGTTATTAATATTTATGCCACCTAATTAAATGAACAAATGAATGCAAATAATGTTTTTATTAATACTTGTTCCATTACTATCATTTATACCTTTTCTATTACATTAAATGCTACATAATCAAATTTGGTCTTATAATGTTAACAAAATACCACTGTACAGATATTATTTTTGATTTTTAAAATATATTGATTATAGAAATTATTACTTTAATACCTACATATATACATGTATATGTATATATTCATATACATATGAATTATAAGTGAAGATTTTCTCACTCTTTTCTACAGGATCGGTGATGTGGGACTAAGGCAATTTCTTGATGGCCCTTCAAGCATAAGGATAAGAGAGCTCAATTTAAGTAACTGTATGCAACTGGGTGATGCCTCTATTGTGAAACTATCAGAGCGGTATGATAAAGCAATCTTTAATAACATAGCATATACATTAGTAATTGTATATTTGCTAATAGGAGAGATCATAGTTAGATATAAAATAAAAAACTCTAGCCATTTGGAGAACATGCCCAGAAGCTAATCCAATCCTCACATCCTCAGTGAAACCGAATCAAATATAAAGTCACGATTGAACTAATCTTTTGATTACATCTTATATTTCTTATTATTGTCACCTAAGAGAAAGTTTGAAATGGACTTATTCATAAAGTAATGAAAATCTAGATAAGTGTGATTTCTCTGTACTGTTGTTGTTTACATGCTAACTTTTACTCCAGCATTTCCCAAGGAGTATTTTGATCCTCTTGGCAGAGGTCTTGTGTTCTCCAAGGATGAAACTCAATTCCTGCAGCAAACTTATAATAATTAAGTGGGGAACTTAACTTTGCACTTTTAGTGGTTATTCATTGTGGTACATACATGGTAGTATTTTGTACATATATTTTTTAAAAAATATATGTATTTTAAATATATATATATATTTGTTAAAATTTGTAATGTGAAACAAAAAGAAAGTCTTATATAATAATCTTTCTTTTATCTAACTCTATAATGCCAAATTATTTTCTACTTTTAGTCTTACATTTATGTTCAGAAAAGAAAAATCTTTGTTTCAATACTGTTTGTTTTCCCAATAGTTTTTACATGAAGAAATCAATACTGATGATGTGATTGAAAGCTGAAATTAATTCTTTGTGCTGCTTTCTTTCAGTTGCCGTAATTTAAACTACTTGAGTTTACGAAATTGTGAACAGTTGACTGACCAAGGAATTGAATACATTGTAAACATCTTTTCCTTGGTATCTTTAGATCTTTCTGGAACAGTCATCTCTAATGAGGTAAAAAGATAGTAAAAACAGTTTGATGACTTTTATTTTTTTCCTGCAATAAAAACATTTTCTGTTTTGTAAATAATGGAGAACAATAATTAATTTATTAAGTTATTAGATTACAGAAAGAAAGTTTAGGAATATTATTATTTGTAAATATATTATTTGTAAATCAAGTCTTATTTCTCTGTTTAAAAAATAGCAAAATGTAGCAGTGTGATCCCAGTGACTCTGGAGGCAGAAAGAGGAGGATTGCAAGTTCGAGGCCAACTTCAGCAAATTAGCAAGGCCCTTGACAACTTAGTGAGACCCTGTCTCAAAATAAAAATAAAAAGAACTGGAGATGTAGAGCAGTGGTAAAGAAGTCCTGAGGCTCAAGCCTGGGTAATCCAAATCAAAACAAAACAAAAAACAACAACAACAAAAATACAGCAAAAGTCACAACAGATCAAAGTATTACATGAGAATCTGAAATTTATCATAGAAGTTTGGTTAGTGTGGTGATAATAATTTTACATGGCTTAGGTATATTTTTCCTGCTTATTGTACATTCTGTAAACTACCTAAGTACCTTTGATCTAAGTCTTTAGTTCAATATCAAAGTCTAGAAATGGCCTCATCATGTCCACAAAAGATACTTTTTAAGCAACTCATTTCCTACTAGTTGCTGATACTACTCATGAGAGTTGAAACCCAAGTGTTATGGTTTGGATGTGAAGTATCTCCCAAAATCTCACCTGTGAGACAATGTAAGAAAGTTCGGAGGAGAAATGATTGGGTTGTAAGAGTCTTAACCCAATCAGTGATTAACTGAGTGGTAACTGAAGTGGTAGGGTGTGGCTGAAGGAGGTCGGAATTGGGGCGTGGCTCTGGGTATACATTTGTATCTGGCAAGTGGAGTTTCTCTCTGCTTTTCCGTCATGATGTCCTGCCTCACCTTGAGCCCTCAGGAATGAAGTCAGCTGTCCATGGACTTAGACCTCTGAAACTGTGAGCCCTCAAATAAACGTTTCCTCCTCTATAGTTGGCTACTCAGGTCTTTTAGTTGGAGCAGTGAAAAAGCTGACTAAAACACCAGGCTATATCTATTAGTACTGCCTCATTTACCAGATCAAATGAGGGTAAGTCCTGAGAGACTGGCCATGTTTTTGAAAGACTTTAATGGACTACAATTAAATCAGAAATATAGGATTCTCTTGCTAAATTCCCCTTCATCCTCAAAAGACTAAAAGAGCCAATATCAACTGTCTATGAGGTCTTTTCTGAAAAGCTCTCTGCCTGGCAGGCAAATATTGGGCCTCTCTATGTGTATATCCAGCCTCAGTACATTTTTTTGACATGATCTGTTTCTCATTGCATTACAGACATTTGTGTTATGTGCTTATCCTTGTCCCATATTCAGTGGGCTCTTTTAGTTGCAGGGTGTGTCTATTATTGGTCTAGGTTTTTTCTTGTCTTTATCTGAGTACACTTCCATTCTACTAGATGGTCTCCTCTTCCTTCCTTGGAGTTTTAGCCAAGGTGATATGCAAATTTGGGTGGAAAGTTTATATGTAGTTAACTCATTATGGTGGAGTCAGTATCTGGTCTTCTCAGTATTGTTTTCTGACCAGGATAGAATTCATTGAGGCATCCAAGGGCCTATCTTGTCTTTAGTTTGCTGTCTAGGTAGATCCCTGATGTGTGTTCCTTGTCCCACATCCAAGGCCCTTGTCCCATATTCAAGCTTTTAAGATACCTTGTCATGTCTGCCTTGCTGAGTATTGCTGGGGTGTGGTGATCCTGCCAGGCTGCCGTAGGTCCACCATCCTCGGCAACTCCTGCAGACATTCTGCTCCCATATCATGGGTGTGTTTGTCACATATTCATGGCCACACCCTCCCCTTTCTCTGCTACAGTGCCTGACCCATGTCAGCTAGATTCCAAGTTGAGTTGGGTACTTATGAGGCATTTTTGAGGTATCTGAGGGTTTGTACATGGGGAGGCTGGTGTCCCCCTACTCTCTTTCTTGCATTATCATTATCAGCTGCATTACCTTTGTGTTCTACTCTCTGAGCAGGCCTGTTGTGCTTTCAGCTCTCCTGAGTGACCTCGACCCGAGGTTTCAAAACCTCATCTCTTCTCACTGTCCTTCCAGCATAGTGATGGTAGTGGCTTCCTACTGCTTTGAAGCTCTAGATTGTGCCATTAGACTATTTAGCTTCTCAGTTTGTCTACCACAGATGTAGTAAATTCCCTGCTAAAATTAAATTCCCTCAGTTTTGCATACTCAGTTGTTTTCTGTTTTCCTTATTGGATCTGAACTGATAAAATGATGAGCACAGAAAAATTCTGATGCCTAGTTGATTTTTTTCAACCCACAACAGAAAGGTGGACTAAGTTTTCATTTATTCTGAGATTTCCAAGCCTATCCAGAGGTTCCAACTTTCTGTCCAGCTGAGCAGATCTGGGAAAGTCCAGAACAGACCCCTGTATAGGTAATCCCCAAGCATCTCCTCCCTTTGCTTCTCTCTGGCTCTTCTCTCTTCTTCTTTCCTCCCCCTTTTTCTCTCCTCTGGATATTTCCTCTTCATTCTCCCTCTCCTCCACACCCCTCTTCTCTCGTCTAGCTCATCTCATTTCTCCTGGCATAGATTCTTTTTTTAAAAATATTTTTTATCTGTTCATTTTACTTATACATGACAGTAAAATGTATTTTGACATATCATACGTACATAGAGCACAACTTACCATTTTGGGGTTGTATATGATGTGGAATTTCACTGGTTGTGTATTCATATATGAACATAGGAAAGTTATGTCCAATTTGACATAGATTGTTGATATAATCTATGGGTAGAAAAAATGATTACATGGTTTTTAAAACTGTTATGCCCCAAGGGCTTAGGCTTTTGAAGCTTAAAAGCCCAGGATTCTTTCTTTCCCCCGTGTTCTGCAGTCAGAACCCTTCCCTGACACACATGAGTAGAGTGCCCAGCTGTTGTCTGAAGGGTCACAGAGTAACAAGAATTAGAGGCTCAGAGCACATAATAAATCATCAAGATTTCATTCTCCCATAGGACTTATCACAAACCTCAAGTGCCTGGAGAACATTTGCTGAGTAAGTAGAGAGAAGGCTCAAACTTTTTTTTTTTTAAATTTCCAGAGAACTCATATTAAAATTTTACCAACTCTGTTTAAGTATAAAACTGAGGGATGTAGTTTAAAGTTCTATCCTCTGTTTTTATTTTCTTCAGAAGAATACACATGAAAGAGCTCTAAACAGACATCCATGGGTAAGAACACTGGTTGTTTTCTGACAAATGACTGGAATGCAGGTCTTGTGAAGGCTGTTGTTTTCTTCCTCTGAGTCGGTTAAACTCTGATCTCAAAGGCAATGACTGACAATAACAGTGCTACGACAGCTGTGGATGTTAACCTCAAACAGTCAAATTAAAATGAGTCAGCCCAGATGTCAACTTGGGCAGCTAAACACCAGCCTGGACTGTAAGTCTAATAAAGTACAAATTTGACTACAGACTTAACATTCAGAATTTAAATTTTGGAATGTTGTAGATATTCGCCAGAGATGAAATGTGACTGACCAATTGTGCCTTTAGGGGGGAAGATTTATTATGTTTTCTAATAATTATGCCCATTCCCAATTCTTCTGAGTGAGTTTTCAGCTGAAATCCCACTATTCAATTTAGTTAACAAGTATGTATTGTACTTGGAGCTGAGGATGCCAGAGTGGACCACCCAGACATGGACCCTCTTCCTGGCACCTACATTCTAGTGGGCCACATGTTTTTGGAGTGTGATGGGTATAGAGGACAAGAGAAGAAAAACCTCACCTGGCTTAGAGAAGGAAATAAAATGAGAAGGAAGGGGAGGGGGTGGAGTGGTGAGCCAAAGAAACAGCCTTCACCAAGATATGGAAGTTTAAAGATGTGTGGCATCAAGAAGTCCACACAACTGAGTATGGCTAGATTGTGAGGAGAGTGTTAAGAGATGTTGTTTCCAAGGCAGTCATGGGCCAGGAACCTTTAGAAATCTTTAATCTTCTATAGTTTTAGAAATGTCTAATTAAATGTTATTCATTCCTTTCCTACCCCAAGGATTATTTGAACACGAGGATACATACACACACACACACACACACACACACACATCTCTCTCCATGTATGTACATGGGAAAATGTTTTATAGTAGTTACGAGAATTATGATTTACTAAAGACCATAGGACTCACAATTAGAGCAGTTCAATCTGTAGTTTAAGTTGCCTTAGTCACTGCCATATTTGTTGTTCAAAGGAAAAGTGAGTCAGAGCAAATGTTCCAGACGTTGTGTTTAGTGGTTTAAGAAGAGTCTTTCATTTGCCCAAATTTCAAAAATTTTCATTCTGAGTAATAGGTTGTGAGTGCCTAGCATGTAGGTGATCTCCTGGAGTCTCCTCATAAACGTGAGCTCCATGAGGACTGACACTGTTTTGTTCACTGCTGTTTTCCCAGAACCCTAGGAAGTAGTAGGCACTTGATAAATCCTCACTGAATGAAGGAACAAGTGCTGGACTCCACAGTTACCCAAAAGGAATAATACCACTTCTCTGCAGCCCAGTTGGAAAGGGTAGGCACGGATAAGTTAAGTATGATTTGGCGGGTGTAGTGATGGAGGCAAGCAGAGGAAAGGATCTCTGAACTCAGCCTGTCCAACACAGAGGCATGCAGCTGCCTGCTTGTTCAGGGAATTCTGTGCAGCTTGGTCCTGCTAGAATGTACTGTGAAAAGGAGAGATCATTGAGAGAGTTACATGCTGTTCCAAGGAGCTTGGACTTGAACCAAGGGGATGCCAGAGTGGACCAACCAGACATGGAGGAAGGGGCATTTTGTTAGGAAGTCATAGTCAGTCTCTCGTTGCACATAGATTATTTGGGTTGTTCTAGTGGAGATGCATCAGAGGGAGAAAGACTGGAGTCAGGGAGACCAGTAGGGGTTATTTCAGTGACTAAAGAAAGAGATGAGGAGTTCTT